TGCTCAGCAGGGAGTCTGCTTCCTCCTCTCTCTGACTGCCTCTCTGCCTACTTGTAATCTCTGTCAAATAAATAAATAAAATATTTTTAAAAATTAAAAAAAATAAAAAGAATCACTAGACAACTGTATGATCTTGGCCAAACCCTTGGTTTTTCCAAATATCCCCCCAACTACTTCTCAGAAGACTTATAGGACACAAAGGAGAGGGAAGTGTTGAGAGACCATAAAATAGTAAATAACTTCAGGCTACTATACTTCTCAAAGGTAAGGGTGAGGATAGAAGTAAATCTCATTTCTTAAAATTAAAGATGAGCTGAGGTTTCCTTGCTGCTTGGATAACTGCCTCATTTTCTCTTCTAGATGATACATGCTAGCACTGTCATTGTATATTTACCACTTTGTGGCCCTTTCCTCTTCTTCATCAATCTTCTAGATCAAAGATTAAGATATATAAACCAATGACATCTCCCACCACCCACCACCCCATCCCCAGCAAACAAGTTCAATGTGGCCTTATCCACGCCACTTCTTAAGATTTATCATATTTTATCGCTGGAATGCACTTAGATCATCTAGCGCAACTTTTCCATTTTACCCATGAGGAGTAAAGTCTAGAGTGAATTATTTGTTCCAGGTCACCCAGCTAGTGTCAATCCCCATAAAAGAATCTCCTTAATACCCAGTTCTCAACATTACACCCAACAAATGTCTGGGCACACAGACCCGTTAACAAATATTTTCTTGGGGCCCCTGGGTAGCTCAGTCAGTTAAGCATCTACCTTCAGCTTGGGTCATGATCCCAGGGTGCTGGGATCAAGCCCCACATCGGGCTCCCTGCTCAGTGGGAGGCCGGCTTCTCCCTCTCCCTCCCCACCCTGCCTGTGTTTCCTCTCTCACTGTGTCTATCAAATAAGTAAATAAAATCTTTAAAATATAAATATTTTTTTCTTGAAGTGAAATGAATTTCTTCTTCTTTGACAGAACTTCCTGTTCTTCACTCTGCAGAATGTGGAAGGAAGAGGTTAAAGTGCTGTTCTGAATGCTATGGCTTAGAAGGCAGTGTGGTGTGGACTCTGGAGTAGGCTTCTTGGTTCTGATCTGGGCTCTGCCACTGCCCATCTGTATGACCTTGGGGAAATTGCTTTACATTTCTTAGACTCAGCTTCCTCATTCTTAAAATGAAGGTAATCACAGAAACCACCTCAAAGGTTGTTTATTCAGTAACACTGATTCAACACTTGCTCTTAAGCAAGTGTGCCATGTTAGATGCTGGGGATACAAGAGACAAGAAATAAAAAATCGTACCCCAAGGAGCTAACATTCTATTAGGATTAAAGGATATATCCAAATAAAATGTCTGGTACAGAGTCTGGCACCTGAGAAATGTTCCAGAAATGCTAATTATTGTTATCATTATTATTAAAAATGTATTGTATATACACATTTAAAAAGCAAATCAGCAAATAAATCTTACAAACTGAAAGCTCCAAGCAAGATTTGAGGGTATAAAACAGCTCACATGGCAGCATTTCACAAGGACAGATAGTATCACCATGGCAACATTTTTCCGAGTTCTTTAAGAACACTGGCTGGATGCTGTGGAAGGTTTAGGCACAGTCTGTGAAAACACTGTGTAAACAGCATCATATAGAGAGTGGAGAAAATACTCTCCAGTTTATGTCCAAAAAAGAGAGCTTCCTTTATAGAATCATTTGATAAAATTTAATGTACAAAATCTTAAATTAAGAAACACAAATTAGGGGATAATTACTTGTATTACAATGGAAGTCATCTTTTCTTTCCAGTGGCCAGCTTTCCTAACATATTAAAAAAGTGATGTACCACATGATTAACAGGCACATGAAAAGATACTCAACATACATCCTTAGTGATTAGGGAAATACAAATCAAAACCAAAACGAGGTACCACTTCACACCTACTAGGGTGGCAAATAATTTTTTACATGGAAAATAACAAGGTTAGAGAGGAGGTGGAGAAATTGGAACCCTCATATATTGATGAAAGGCACATAAAATAGGTGAATCTTTGTGGAAAACAATTTGGCAGTTCTTCAAATGCTAAACACAGAATTACCGTACGAGGCTGCAATTCCACTTCCAGATATAAACCAAGAGGAACTGAAAACAGGTACTTCAACAAGTGAGATGTACATGTATGATCATGGCAACACTATTCACAGTAGCCAAAGGTGGAAATAACCATTAATGGGTGGCCTGATGTCCATTAATAGGTGAATGATAAAGAAGATGTGTGATATACATATAACATAGTATTATCCAGCCATAAAAGGAAATGGATTACTAATATATGCTACAACATGGATAGATCTCCAATATGTTACACTAAGAAGCCAGATACAAAAGGTCACACATACTGTAAGAGTGCATTTATATGAACTACATAGAATAGATGAATGCACAAAGAAAGCTGATGGGTGGAGGCCAGGAACTATGGGGAGAGCAGAATAGGGAGAAACTGATTAATAGATAAACGATTTTACTTTGGAGTGACAGAAATGTTTTAGAACTAGATAGAGATGTAGGTGTACAACACTGTGAATGTACTAAATGCCCCTGCATTGTTCATTTTATAACAGTTTTATAACCAACATTCTAAAAAAAAAAAAAGTTTTAGGTTACATGAAATTAATCTCAGTAAGTTTTTTTTTTTTATGATACTTTCCACATGTCTTATAAACATATAAAAGGATATTGGGGACCTAGGTGGCTCAGTCACCCGACTCGTGATTTCAGCTCAGGTCATGATCTCAGGGTCATAAGATTGAGACCCGCAACCAGTTCCATATCCGATGTGGAGCCTACTTAAGATGATCTCTCTCACCCTCTGCCCCTGCTTACTCTCACTCTCTCTAAAGTATAAAATAAAAAATAAAAGTTTTTTTAAAAGCATAAGAAAAATATTATAAGTGATTAACTGTCTCAGAAACCCATGTAAAAAGGGTGTCTAGTTATTCACAGTGAAGGAAGGAAGAGACTGTTCTTACTAAAATCCTGGCTTCGTCCTGTTAAAGAATAATTTTTTAAGGTCAAACAATGACTGTCATATAGATATAAAATGAACATATGTCAAAGGTTTTTACTTAACTCATTAATTTAAGACAGAGCCAGTAAGTGTTAAAAACTGGTTCAAGAGGCAAGGAGAAACACTGAAGCGTATTTGTTAACAGAGAGAAAACTAGCTTCTTGGGGTGGAGGCTAGGGGGTGACCAACTTCATCTCCACAGGACAAAATTTGATGGCTTTTCTACAGACAAGAATAGTCTGCATTACTCTTAATTTTCTACTACTTTACAGAGTTTTCAACAGCTCAAAGATAATGAAAGTTAAACCAGATAACTTGGAAGGATGCACTAGTCAATGCCTAGCTTTCTAAAAGATACCCAGTGGTTTTTTTTTTTTCTCCACCAGATTTCACAATCCTGACATTCTTCTGGCATTCAGGGTAATTCCCTACCTTAGCAAACAACTTCTCTTTCTTGGATTTCAGGTCCTTGTCTGTATAAAACAAAAACAGGAAAAAAAAAAAAGAAACAAAAACAAAAACACCTTTTTTTTCAAGGAAGAATTGGCTTGGATGGCCTAAAGCCTGTCTAGATCTTTGACAGCTTGATAATAACCAACTTCCAAGGACCAGATGCTCTGGCAGAGATTCCTATAGGTAACACAGCCCTTTAAGCCACAAGCTTAAATGGGACACACCATTCCTTGATGAAGGAGACCGTATTTCTAATGAACCACTCCAGGACAATTTGCCTTTCTACACTATTAATGAAAACACAATTATACTGAATTTCCCCAGGTTCTGTCATGACCAACAAACATCATTTGATTTTTAACTGATGAAACCAGAGTGAGAAGTAGTCTGGATCTATGAAACGAAACAAAATAATTGACCTATGTAAGAGGTCCAAAAAAAAAAAATTGGTTGAATTGAATGGCTTTGAAATTTTTCAGTCACTGGCAGAGACAAGAGGCTGTGATCACTTGCACTTAGTGTACTGTATTACAGCAATGGTGTCTTACTTACTTAGGGATTACTGACTCATGGAAACTAAGGAGTACTAAGAATTGCACTGAGGACACAATTAGTTTACTGTAAACACAGTATGACGCTTAGTCTCTTCCTTGTGCTAGCTCTTCTGCAGCATTCTCCAGCTGCCCAGTACTGGGCACACAGTAGGTCCTCAATCAAAGCTTACTGTTTAATCATAAAATTAATTATGGAGAGTGGAAGTCTATACTTGTCCCAGAAATATTCTGCTTATTTGTGATAACATCAAGTTTCTCTATTTATTAGACTAAGTTATTTTTACATTTAAGCATATTGATCAATGTAGCACAAAGAAAGCACATTCCCCCAACAGCATGTAAAACAGAAATCTTAAGCTTCCAAGAAAAAAAATGTGCTGTTCCACATAATATTCCATAAAGATCTACAATCTTGCACACATCTTCCACCAAAGCCAATGCTAAGATTAATATTAGATTTCTGAAATCTAACTGTAAAACTGTAATCCTGACCCAAGCAACTGTGAGATACCTCCTGTCTTCTGGATTTGAGAGAAAGGGCAGCTTGAATTTCACTGAAATGCCGCTAACAAAATTCTTTACATTCCAATTAAAAATGCCTTGCTTACCATGACACTTTGGCTTCTGCCCTGCCTTTTTCTCCTCATTTTCATTCAGATTCAATGTGTAATTATTAGTGGCTAACTCAGGGTCATGTAATTTTTGTCCTTCTCCTGGGAGGACACGCACAAGCATGCACACTCCCCAAGTGTGGTTAACTGAAAGCTGGGACTGCACCAAAAAGAGCGGAATAGGGAGACCCTTCCTCATCCCTTCCAGTTGATAGCCTACCCTCTTTGCACACAGCTGTCATTCCAGTTTATGCCCCTCCTTGCCAGAGAGCAGGGATCTACCTCAAACAAACCCAGTCTCAAGGGGTGTTTTTGGTGAGGACATCAGGACCTGGAAAGCCGACAGACAACGTGGAAGCTGTGAGTACCTTTGACACCAAGGCTGCTGGTTGGCTGGGTTTTCTCATAGCATAGTGATCCCACAGATAAGGAAGACCAGAATTCTTTGGGTGTAGGACAGAGAATACACTCCCAATGCTTTTAATTTATAGGAAATAAGTACAGTGGCTTCCCACCTCTACTTTCAAGACCAAATACACACTCTCTCTCTCTCTCTCTCTCTCTCTCTCTCACACATACACACACACACACACACACACACACACACCAGTTAACACTCACCTAACGTCTATTATTAAAGCACTAAACAAAATGCAGGAGGGGGTCCAAAGATACACTGTTATTTACTATTTCCTGGGTCCAAACGTGCTGCTAACATGCCTGCACTTCCCAGCACCCCTATCTTTGGTCAGATGTCCTTTCTGAGTGCCAAGCTGGGTGCTTGGGAGACTCGAGAAAGAACAGGCCTTTCATTTTCCTCCATGCTCTCTGGCCTGTTGCCTCTGCACAAGGGAAGCCAAGCAGAATTTGAAGAAAGATCTGTGGGAAGTGCTGCTGGTGATTTTAAGATGGGAAGTAACATGTTGCAGGAAAAAATCAAGAGAAACTATACTGAAAGAGCTAGAAGGAAAGGAAATAAGCTTTGTGGGGGGTGGGGGGAGAGAAGAGTAACAAAAGGAGAACAGTGAAGATCTGACCTCTACCAGAGATGGCAGTGAGATTTTGGTTCAGCTTTTACAGTGCAGCTTGGAGGGTCCAGGGTCAATGCCTAGCTACCCGTGAAGTACCCCTGGAGAGGGCTAGACTGAAATATCTATGATACGCACTATGCTAAATGCAGGGAAACCAAGACAAAATCAGTATTACTGAGGACTTATTTGATCTCTCCTTCCATCTCACAGACACAGTGAAAAACCTAAGTAAACCCAAGGAATTTGTTTTTGAGTACTAGGTCTGCGGCTGATTTTTTTCTCTCTCTCTCACTTCTCTGCGATATTTTCCAACTTTACGATAGTGAGAATGCATTTTTATAGATATATTTAAATACATTATCTTAAGAAATAGAACAAACCTCCAGACTTAGGAGAGAGGGCCCCAGGTCAGTTAGACATTGCTACGTGGACCAAGAAATCCCAGAGCTCCCAGGGCTTAACACCGAGTGCTGCCAAAGTCTGACTGTTGGCTTTTCGGAGTCCAGCAATTAGCAACAGGATGATAACATCTGCCTTCCTTACAGACTAGTTCTGAAGGTCACAAGATAAATGTGTAAAAGCATTTTGTGAGTATCAAGCACTTAATCAGTGTGAGACAGTATTAGTCCAGTTAAAAGCAAGTTTCTAGAAAACTAAAAAAGGGTAGGGATAAATATAAAGAAGGTAGGTATTTAAATGCATTCTCCTCCATTTAAGTTCCAATGAGATCCACAGATTAATTGTGACTGGCAAAGGTACTCTGTTCAAGACAGATTCTGAAGCAACAACAGAAACCAAAATACAGCAATAAGAATCTTTATTCCCCATCAGGTAACTTGTATTATTGTGAAATCCTCAGGTCCTAGAACTGAACTCCTGAGAAATCTCCCTACCTTTTCAGTTCTGGTAGAATCTGACCTCCTGGGGGAAACACTGAAACCCAACTGATGTGGAAGAGACCTAGCAAAGATATATTTGAAACTAGAAGATATCAAATGACTTCCCCTGAGATTGGTCCCAAGCTTGGTTTCAAGTCTCATTGATGTGCTTAGTGTCCTGCTAGAGGAGCTAGAGGAACTCATTAACTGAGTCTGACAAGAACCAACAATAAGTATATCAGGACAGGCTACAAACTTTTGCTGACACTTGTTCATGGCCAACCCTGTTTCTCACACTGGCTCTCATCTGCAAAGAGCATTAGGAGAACAGATGATGTCAACACCAGCCGAGAAGACAAGTTATCTGAATACTCAACCCCTGGCAGGAGAATTTGTGCCCTGATTTATTTTTAGTGCTTTTCTACCTTAATAATCCAGTAAGCTGACGAAAAGCCAGCAACCTGACTGTTCTCTGAGCTCACCACCCTTATTTATCTCTTAGCAATCAGCAACACATTTGGTCATCTGGGGGAGAATCTACTAGGAGCTTGGGGTCCCATCATTTGCAAACTTTCAGAAAGCACACAGGAGTACTTTCCCTGCCCAAGTAGAAGCACGGTAGTAATCACTGGCTCAAGACAGAAAGACAAAGAGAGGTTGCTAACAAAAATAGGTTTCTACAGTCTATCATTTTTATCAGCAGGGTGGAGGTTAAGAGTAAAAAGCAAGAATTCAGCTTTACCTTTCAAGAAATGTTAGATCTTAAATTAAGGCACACATTCTGCTTATCTTAAGCTTCAAATAGGACTATTGAAAAGAATTCACAATGAACAGAGAGTAGCTTTTCACCCAGATGCAGAAAGTGAAATATCAAAATATTCATCAGTCATTTCCACATTTTTGCATTTGGATTTAACCCCAAATATTTAATTTTATTTCAATCTCATACAGCTTGTGAGGACAGATTTATCCAACACCAGCTGTTCTCATAGTTAAAAGCTGCACCACAAAGATAAAATTAGAATTGAGTCAGGATCATATTTCTCTGCAAGAATTCTGCTCTATTTCCCACTGATGCTCTGAGCCACAACTGACAAACCAAATACCAGCATTATTCTTGTTTTTCTTGAACAATTCTTAAGCAGCCACAGTGTGGTAGAAACTGCATATATCACCAAAAAAGGCATGAACCCCAAACATATAGAATTATATCCATGGATGCAAACTTATTTCCAAGATTATTTCTCACGCAAATGGGAGGAAAGTATGTACTGTTTCAACAGAGCAGGGAGTAAGTAAAGTCAACTATCACAGCTCTACCACAATCCTTTTATTCTGGAGTTTTCCACCATAGGAATTTTCTAAACACGCATGAGACCCAAATTAGACTGAAGTCTGGGTAAGCTACAACTGTTCATTAAATCAAACAGTAAAGACCAGATGTCATCATCTCAGTGTTAGATATTTGGGATGACAATATATTCTGAAAAAAAAAATAAGGAAGAATAATCTCAAGATTCTAAGAAATTATTTGTCAAATACTCACCCTGACTGAAATCTAATTTTAACAGTGTAGCTGTAAAAATACATTGCTAACATTCTCTGTTCAGTTTAGAAGATCATCTTTCTCAACAGGCATTTTACAAGAGGAAAAAGCAAAAGTGATCAACAAACACACAAAAGATGTGCAACTTCATTTATGATTAAAGAAATACAAGTGTATAAAATAATGAGATACCTCATTATGAGGATTATAAGGAAGTCATTTTCAAATAACTATTGAGAATGAACTATTTCACAAAAAGGCAACTAAGCTGTATAACTGTTAAAAAGTAAAATGTATGTGCTGTATTTATTCCCCCTTGTAATTCCACTGCTATAGATGGACTTAAAAGAAGATGCAAAGGTGTATTTATAAAGATGCTCACTTAGGTATTGTTTTTAACAACTCCCATATTCTTCAACTGTGAACTGATAAACTATTGCAAACCATATAAAAAATTCTACATAGAAATTTAGAAGAATAAGTTAGATTTTTATGTGCTGTTATCAAATGATGACCCAGATACATTAAGTGGAAAAGCAAGGTATAATATATATAGTGTGGTTGCATTTATGAAATAAAATTATATACAGAGCTGTACCTGTATATAATAAGAAACTATCAATAGCAGAAATTGGAGACTGGAAAGGGCCAATTTTTACTTTTTACTTTATACCTTCTGTATGCTCTGAATTTTTACCTTAAACATCTGCTACTTTTATTTTTAAAAATCTTTGGCCAAAAAAACCCACTCAGCAACCATAGGTTTGTTTCAATTTTCTGGAAAACTTATTTGCATGGAACACCCCAAGTCCCTAAAAGTATTTTATGAATCAAAAGTATTAAATTATACTCAGAGTAGTTTATAACAGACTAAATTTTACTGTATTCTGTTTCTCTGAAAATTGGTCATTCCCGAAGTTTGGCAGAATTAGCCAGAATTCCATTCACTTACTATGACAGATAACAAAAAGGAAACAGTTTTCACATATCTCTTTAATTTTGAAAGTGGATTTGACTTTCCAGGATATATTGCTTCATACTTTGGTGTCATTTCAATGATTTGTAAAGATTTAATGCAATATAATCTAATGTCAGAAGAATATTCAGTATGACAATACTCTGAGAACATTAAATTCCCCAAGACATTCATAAAAAGGACCTCTGTGGCAACCATCAATTTGTTCTCTGTATTTACAGGTCTGCTCATGCTTCATGCTTTTCTTTTATTTCTTTTTTTAGATTCCATTTTTGAGTGGAGTCATATGGTATTTGTCTTTTTCAGTCTGACTTATTTCATTAAACATAATACCCTCTAGGTCCATGTGTCATATGGCACAATCGCATCCTTTTTTATAGCCATATGATATTTCTGTGTGTGTGTGTGTGTGTGTGTGTGTGTGTATTTCCTTAACCATTCATCTATTGATAGACACTTAGATTGCTGCCATGTTTTGGCTATTGTAAATAATGTTGCAATAAATATAGGGGTACATGTATCTTTTTTAGTCAGTGTTAGTGTTTTCACTTTCTCTTGGTAAATACCCAATAGTGGAATTATTTGATCATATGGTATTTTTGTTTTTGATTTTTTGAGGAACCCCTTTACTATTTTCCACAGTGGCTGTACCAATTTTCATTTCCACCAACAATGCATTTTTCTCCACATCCTTGCCATCATGTCATTTCTTTTTTCTTTTTCTTTTTTTTTTTTTTTGGATTTTAGCCATTCTAACAGGTATGGGGTGATGGCTGCCAGAGAAGAAGGTGGTAAGAGATTGGGCAACATGGGTGAAGGAAAAAGGGAGATACAGGCCTCCAGTTATAGAATAAGGATGTCATGGAAATAAAAGGCAGAGCATAAGGAATGGGTAATGATACTGTAATAGTGAAATAATGAGAGAGATG